CCCCAAAACCCCAAAACCCCAAAACCCCTGATAGTATTGTAGCATATTATCGAAAAATTTAGTAATAAGTTAAAAAATGCATTCGATAATACTTGAGTAAAATTGTAAGTTAGTGTTTCAATGATTTTTCTTTGATGTCACAATTATTTTTTTCTATGATCTATCTTCCTTTATTTATTACTACTAATTCTAGTCTGCACTCTGATTTCGATTAGGAGAGCCTCCATTTAAAAATTTATTCAGTTTTTCATTCTAAATTTAAATAAGTTATGAGGAAAACTAATGGCTTACGATATCATTTCGATCTTTGGATATTTTATTATATTAAAGAAGCAAATCCTCTGAAGATGGAATGAATTTTTAAAACATCCTTCCATCTGATGGAGATTTATTATCAAAGCTTACTCTCTTAGTAGTCTTTTAAAACGATTCCCCTTCTGTAAACTAATTTTTCTATGATTATGAGGTTAAGTCCATTGGCTAAAGTTCTGTCAGCTAGCCATTTGGCAATTCATCCTTAAACTTAACACGTTTCGAGGAGTCTAACTAGAGAGGCATATCCATACTTCTAATATTTGGACTCATATCATTCGCATTAGTTTACTGATCGATAAATTCATCCACATGCTTACGCTAAACTGTGTCTGGGATCTGCAATGGCAGATTTATTTCATTATTTATATCAATGACTAAGTTTAATGGTTGTTATTCATTGCAATTATCTAAGTTGGTGCTATGATGATAATGACTATTATAATTTTGATTGGTTATATTAATAGCTGCATTAGACACATCATCTACATCTTTAATAGGTGATTGATTAAGTCTAGAGAAATCATCAGAGATATCTTCTTCAAGTTACTGCTATATCAGTTTCCTATGATTTTCAGCATTGTAGCTATATTTATCTGGATTCAAACGCTCGTTTACTCTGAACCTTCTTTCGTTTTTATTAAGTCTAATCAGCTAAGCAAGTTATGCTGCTTATATCACATAATTCAGTATGATTTAAGAATGAGTGTTTGTTATTTATCTATTGATAGTCTGTATTTCATTCTGAATAGTTTTTAGTTACTCTATAAAGGTTATATTTCAAAATAATTACTTTTCTTTAGATGATTTCCCAATAAATTTTCCTTAACCAATTTGAGATGGAAATAGGTTTTGCTCATACTTAGACATTTCCTTATATAGTCCCATGATTTATCAGCGATGGTTGATTCATCATTAGTTAAAAGTACCGTTGTATCTGAAACTGATAGCAATATTATGAGGCATATGCCAATTGAGAATTCTTCTTTTTGAGGTTATACTATTCCTCTGAAACTCTATAATTGACAGATTAATTACAGAAATAATATTTTACTTCAATAGTAAAAGCTTCTACATATCCTAGAGCCTCATCATATGCTAAAATGGTATTCTTAATTTTCGGATACTTGCTAAATACTTCTTCCGCAGTTTTAATCTGCTGAGTTTCCTATTAGCTTTTTCTTATTGGGCTACCTTTATAATTGAAGAGATTATTTGATGTTGGCACTGTGATCTTAGTAAAGCTCTTTTCATTTAGTCTATCATTAGAGCGAGCAGAAACATCTCTATTTCTTTTTTGAGTAGATCTGCGCTTTTATGAATTTGAATATTATTGGGTGTTGGCAGTAGATGTTGTTTATGCAGGCTTGAATTAGTCTTTTTCAAAATTCTTCATGAATCTTTATAGCTCTAGCATAAAGTATGTCTATTCTTGCTCTTTTCCGACCATTTCTCTTATTTTGTTTATTATTTTCATATCAGTAGTTGTGAGCATACTGATTTGCTTAGAAAGATTAAGAGTTTTATCAGGCAAATCCAAAGTCTTATCAAGGTAACTATTCTCATATTCAATAACTGGAGTTTTTTAGTTCAATATACTATTTGAATAGTACATTCTATCTGGATTATCTTCAGAGTTTAAAGTTGGGCTTTTCGTTGGCTAGTTACTCATATATTGGTCTCTTATGAATTCATCTACTGATCGGTTAGCATCTCCAACCTCACCTCCTCCTTAGGGAGCGTTATCTATCGTAGTCAACTATGACGTGTCTTCATCTTTGTTGTTCTTTTTATTCCTCATCATAAACTTATCGAATTACTTTCTAAACATCTCTACTCTTAGAGGTGAATAATCCTCATCTCTGTTATTAGAGTGCATATAATTCAAGAAATGAGTCTAATCTAATTACTATTGATGCTGTAATTATGACTTATTCCCAGCCTTGAAATCAAATTGAGATATGGCAGTCGGTGTCTTTATCCCTTCTAATCTTTATTTAGCAGATACGCTACTATTCTTTCTAGGAATCTCAGATACTTTTTACTATATTTTAGATGTTGATTGTCTGGGCTTTGAATTATTCACACTCTAAGGTTGATCTTTTTACTATGATGAAGTTCTCTCCATTTTTGTGCGAGATGGGTATGGATCTTATAGTGAACTCTATGCTCTTGAATTAGACTAATTTCTATCATTTAATACTCTATTCTAAAATTTAGTGATGCTAGAGGCAATAGTAGAAACCCTGTCTTTATTTTTCATATAGAGTGAAGGATGATCATTGCTACTTCCAGAGCCAACTACTATAGTATTTTGCTGATTTTAATATGGAGTGGAATGATTGAAAGGCTTGACTTTATGCTGATGCTGTTCTGAGTCACTTTGCTCTGTATTAGACGACTAAATGTTATACTTTGATTATGAGCCGTCACGAGTTTTGAATGAAACTGGAGATCTATTTGCAGTCTATTTGCCTGGTTTAGCCAAAGCAGTGTCCAATTTAGGCTTCATATAAACTCTTGGTGGTCTTTTGCTCAATTATTGCTAAGATTGCATGCTCATTACAAAATAAATTTAATTTCTAATTAAAATCTATAACCATATTAAGTTATTCCAAATTCTTGCTTTGAGGGGTTTTGGGGTTTTGGGGTTTTGGGG